TTCCCCTTCCCCTTTGCCCCTTTTCTTCCTATTTCACATTATTTGTTACACCTTTTATTCCTTATTTACACTTTCAGTTTCTCATACTAGAGAAACTATTTGGTATTTATACATATGTGTCCTATTTATTTCACTTGAGTATCGAGGGTCATTTTATTTTCAAAATTTCTTCGTGCAACTTCCTTTATAAATACATGGAAAAATTTTAATTCCAATTCAGACACTGCTTGGCAACAGATGACAACCCAGAAATATTATTTTCAGGCTACTGTGTTTTAAATTTTCATAGCTGCTTGGTTAGTCCCCACAACACTACAGAAGGGGCAGAGCTAGTATTATTACTCCTTTTGCTGAAAAAGTTCAAGTGAACAAAATGCAATAATAAACTGAGCTTAGGAACTCAGTCTCCTGACCCTGGAGGGAAATCCAGTACCCTGCGTGTGCAGAGGCTTACAGATACACCCAGGCAAGGAGGGCATGGCCTTTAAAAAGGAGTGTTTAGTGTAATGAACCTGATGCTTTTCTAATATGACAGTAATAACCTGAGAAGATAGTAAGTTAATGAAAAATTAATCGAAAGGTTATGTCTTGAATGATATATCATTATATCAATTTCTCTCAAACTATTCTAAATGAAGTTTGAGGCTAGATAAAGTACTTTTGGGGGCAAATTATTAATATTTGAGGTCATATATAGCAAGAGTTGATTTTTAATTGTCTTGATTATTACTAAATTAGATTGATAGAGGGTATTTTTCAAAAGAAGTATATCAGTAATTAACAAAGAGCAACAACAAATACTTGGATTATTTAAATATCTTGTATAACCCAAATGATGTTTTTAACTACATAAATTAAATTTTTAAGTTATAACTCAAACTCAGTGAGACAAAAACTAGAGAAATGCTGCAATATAGGAATAATGGTGGGTAGCTAAGAATCAAGCCAGCATCTTGACCTTTCTAGATTTGAGCTTCCTAAACATTTTTAAAAAGATATTTTAATTAAGTGGCTTTATTTCTTTTATAAGTAATTTCCAGAATCAAAAGCAAGCTAAAATACCATTTCAATAGAAGTGAATAATCTGAAGAGTGCTAGGGATGTAGGGTTTCTGCAAAACAAAGTTCTTCTTTGATGGATGAGACATTAAGAAAATCTATACTGCTTCTCAGGTCCATGTCCTAAATGAATAATCCTGAAATGTAGACATACCAAGGACATAAAATCTTTTTAGTTGCTAGGTTTATATAAGAAACATACCATATTTTATGAAAGCTGGAAAGCATACACAGAGAATTTATAAAGTAAATATGAAGCAATGACCAAAGTCTAAAAGAAATCAATTTCCAGCATACTAAGTATATGACACATAGTAGGTGCTCATTAAGTTGATAAACACATGTGTGAATGGATAGATTTTCTTCTTTTCTGTTGATACTGAGCAGAAGATACAAAGTTCCTCTGACTTAAATTTGTCACTCTCAGTGGAGGAGTTTTTTTGGTTTCTTTTTCTGTCTCTCTCTCTTTTTTTTTTTGGTACTATGTCTCAGGGCCTTCACACTGAGGTACCTCTCTAGCCTCTTTTATATTTTATTTTGAGATAGGGTCTTTCTAAGTTGCTAAATTGCCTAGGCTGGGTTTGAACTTTTGACCCTCCTGCTTCAGCCTCCCAAACGACTGGGATTATAGGCACAACCACACGTTTTCTGAGGAAGTGTTTTAATCATGTGTAATGGAGGCAGAGTATGGAAGTCTGCACAAGAATATGAGTCCCAACAACAGTAGGGCAGGAGCTGAGAACTAATGGAATACGGTACAATCTTGGCATTCCAAACCCTATTGTTCCCTCTTGCCTTGGGAGGAAAAAGCTTCCAAAGCTAAAAGGACACAAGTATCACAAATCACTACCTGAAATATAAAACTGGCAGTTGGCTTACAGTAAAACCCCAGCAATGTAAAGAAGGAATTTGCTGGTGAGCTGAGGAACTATGTTATGTGAGTTCTTTTACTTAAGCCCTCAAAAATTACCTCCCAGTGGGCTGGGGATTTAGCTCAGTGGCGCTGCCACCTGCCTTGAAAGCACAAAGTCCCGAGTTTGATCCCCAGTACCAAAAACACAAAACAAATAATTACCTTCAAGTTACACTTTGGAAGCAGGGGGCGGCTATATCAGTGACCAACACAAGGGTCCTAAGATCCAGATGGACATCCCTTCCACAAACTGGGACTTTTTGCTCATCTTCAACATGGATATCTTTACTAGGAAGAATGAAAAATTAGCAAGAATAATTTTAAAGTCCCTTAAAATGATAAAATGTTATATTTATCAATAAGTATAAATAATAAGCCATGAAGTAGTTAAAACTTTATGCTAGAAGTCACTAGATAAACTTAAAAGGTATTATAAAGAGTAATAATGACAGCTTTCTGTGAATGAAAGCAAACACCAAGAACTGGTTTTCAGAGAACCATGTCTGTGTATGTAGACAAACAGCCACTGAAGCCAAAATGAAGAAAGTAAAGGATTTGCCATTAAAATTGATTACCATAATAGGGCCGGGGAT